GTGTGGATATTATCCTATCACATTATGTTCTTGACTATTTTATGCAATTATAGGGATGATTATGGGGAAAATATGGGACTATTTCATGCAATTATGGAAATAATCAAAACCCATTCCTTTTTGTCTTGACTTGGATTTCTAATAGGGTAGATAAGACATATCATGGCCAAGATATGCTCTGAGGGGTTAGCATTTGATTTCAACCTTCTAAATTAATGTTGTATAGCATTAACATTGTGTAAAACCAGTAACTAGGGTGACTATTTCTGGTGGTTGGAAGGCCCTGAATATTGGTTGTGTTTTCAGGGCTTGATCTGGACTGCAAAGATTATTTTACTTCAGTTACAACAAAACAGTTGTTTTGACAAAAATAATTTGCACATATTATATAATAGTGTTCAATGACAGTTTGTAAGATAAATTATGAACTCATGTTCCCTCATCATTTGAAGAAACTGACACAGATTAGGTAGAAGTTGCTCTCACACTCTTTCCCTTGATCTGAAAGAGATTGTTTTGAACAAAGTACGATTGAAAAGTGACTGCATACCCAAGATCTTTATGTATCATCAGGTAAGGAGGAAAAATCAAAGAAGAAGACTTCTCTATTTTCAACAGCAACCTGCTGAGCCTAGAGAATTTTTAATTATCATTTTGTTATTCCTTCACCCTTTCCTATCTACAAAGGCTTCACAGAAATAAATCAATACTATTTGTCTCAAATCAATCCTATGCAAAACAAACACTGACCAAAACAACAACAACAAAAAAAAAGGTAAAGAGATTGAAAAGGCAAAAAGAAACTGAAGAGATTATTTATGAAATTATGAACATTTATTATATATTATTATAAATTTCTTACCAAACGAAAGGATTTGCATTCACTGTTTTGATTGTTTGAAGAATGCATTACCCAAGATACTAAGAATATAGAGGTTGGGGTTGAGGGCTTGTTTTTTGTTTGTTTTTAACCTGTGGGTCTCCTGTGTGCATGGCCCATATATGAGGTACATGCTTGCTGAAAGCATCAAAATATTAACTCAGTTTACGAAGGGACTCACAACAATAACCTCTACCCAATGGGGGGGGAGGGGAAGGGTTATTTTGAGGGAGAATAGGTTCTTGATTGCACAGGATTCCAAAGGATGCCTGCCAAACCTCAAGCCATCCAAGGTCCTCAGATCTGTCCTGCTGGATGCCCAGAAGGGCATAGCCCACTGAGAAATTTTAAAGAAAGGATGACAAAAGGGTGTTTAAAAAATATTGGTATTTTTAAGGCTCTGTATCAGTCTTGACAAAGTTACGTTAGAAATTAGCACCTCACCTCTGTCCATTCTCAACTTTATACTTGTTTAGCTTTTTAAGTTGGGAATCTTGTATTTTTAGCCTGATGGATGGAGTAAATTAAAGAATAAGGACACCTATAAAGATGAACCCCTCAGAAAATTGTTAAAATGTCTGCAGGGAAAGTGAATAGAAATGCTTTAAGAGACTTAGTTATGCTGTGATGCACCTTGGCTGAAATTTAGGTAGCTTTGACTTGATTCTTTTCCAGGGTCTTCTTGCATCAATATTAAATTAACAGTCATTTTGATTGCCTCTGAACTTCCTATAAGAGCAGTGACAGTCCAATGTATGTGCTATAATATTCCTGTACAAGATATGTTGCTCTTGATTATTTGAGGCTGATGTTATTGGAACCAAATTTGAAACTTAAAGGTATATATTTTTTTGCACTATTAGATAAAAACATGTCATTTTACCCCTGAAAGGGCCAAATTAGTTTTCTCTCCTAGCACCTGTGAAGAAGCTGAGCTTTAAAGTGATAAAATTATGTACTTGCTCAAGTGCAAGAGCTAGGTGATATTTAAATCTAGTCTCTCTCATTCCAGTGTTTCCTTCACTGTCCCAAATTTCTAAATAGAAAATTCTAAATAAGGTTTTTCATTTGAAAGGCAGACAATGTTTTTCGTTTTCCCAGGTATCTAATGGCAATAAAAACACCACCTTATAGTGACCATTGGATTATTTCTGCTGTGATTTGTTTAAACCCCTCTATGGGAGCTCTGGATGCATAGTGCTTAAGGCCCTTGACTACTAACCAGAAGGCTGGTGGTTCAAACCCACCAGCCACTCCTCAGAAGGAAGATTGGGCAATCTACTTCCATAGTGAAGCCTCAGAAACCCAAGGAGGTGTCGCTATGAGCTGGATCCAACTTGAAGGCAGTGAATTTGGTTTGTTTTCTTGTTTATGGCCACAATAAAAAAAGGAGCTCTGGTAGCACAGTGATTATTTGCTCAGCTGATAATTAATGGGTCAGTGGTTTGAATCCACTAGGTTCTTCACTGGATAAAGGTGTGGCACTCTGAAATTATAATGATTACAACCTTGAAAACCTTATGGGGCAATTCTGCTCTGTCCTACCAGACGATTATAAGTCATAATTGACAAAATGGCAATGGGTATATGAACACTATTAAAGCAGATGGGCAGTGCAAATGGTTAAGTGCTTTAATATTAGCTGAAAAATTGGCAGTTCAAACCCACTCAGAGATGCCTTGAAAGAACGGCTAGACAATCTGCTTCTGAAAAATCAGTCATTGAAAATGCTATAGAGTACAGTCTACTCTGCACATAAAGGATTGCCATGAGTAAGAATTGACTCAAATGCAACTGGTTATAGTTGTCATAATGTACACTGTGGTGAATGGTGCATCCCAAGCACAGGAGAGGCCACAGAAGTTCTGAATGGATAAAAGCATTGTATCACTTATTATTATCAGAGGCTATCTCTAGCTCAGTTGTCAAGCTCCATTCCTTTTCTGCTTCCCTAAGTGCCAACCCTGAAATAGCAAGAACCTGAGAAAAACTGGTGATATCTGCTCCAGGGTGATAGTCTTCTCAGAAGAGCTATAAACCTTGGGTTAACTCTAGTATCTTTCTAGAAGTTTCTTCACACTTTCACCTAATAAGCCAGTTTCAGGTTTCTCATTTTCTATCAAGGCTTTTATAACTACAGCCATCACCTTCAGATTATGGTTCTTTCTGAATTATATTTACAGTTCATTAATTGCTAAACCATCACTAATATTTCGTTTGCTGTATCTAACAAGACTACACAGTTGTGGGGATCAGGGTTCATGTTCTACATTCATTTTATTTTTTAATTTTTTTTTAATTGTGATTGGATAAAAGTTTGCAGAGCAAATTGTTTTTTTCTGTACATATTTGTACTTTTTTGGGGGACATTCATTGCAATCCTCATATGTAACAGCACTCTTCCCACTTCTTCTTGTGTTTACCATTTCCCCTCATCCTTCTTTCCTATCCCTTCCAGCATCCTTACCTCTATCCCTGGGAAAATTCTGCCCTTTTGATCTCATATAATTAATTGAGTATTCTAATGAATTAATAACTTCCTTCTATTACTGTTTACTTTATAGGCGTTCTGGTGGTACAGTGGTTAAAATATTTGGCTGTTAACCAAAAAGTCAGCTGTTCAAGCCCACCAGCCACTCTGTGGGTGTAAGATGAACCCTCTGCTTCTGTAAAGATTTATAGCCTTGGAAACCCTATGGAGAAGTTCTACTCTGTCCTTTAAGGCCACTATGAGTCAACATTGACTCAATGGTAGTGCAATTGTTTTGAGTTTTATATGCTTGTCTAAGGTTTGGCTGAAAATTGAGCCAGAGTGGTTGAATTTAGTTCCTGACCTGAAGAGTGCCTAAAGGTCATAGTCTCAGGAATTTCACCAGTTTCTATCAGACGAGTAAGCCCAGCCTTTTTTTTTATAATTTTGAGTTTTGTTCCACATTTTTCTCCTATTCTATCCAGGACTTCCTGATTCCTTTCAGAGTGATCAGCAGTGGTAGCTGGGTACCATCTATTTCTTCTGGACTCAAGGTCATGGAGGCTATGGTTCATGTGGTCCATTGGTCCTTTGGATTAATTTTTTCCTTGCATCTTTGATTTTCTTCACTCTTCTTTGCTCCTGGATGGAGGCAGACTAATAGCTATACCTTAGATGGACACTTACAATCTTTTAAGACCCCAGTTTCTATTTACCAAAGTAGAATATAGACGATTGTCTTTGTGGAATATATTGTGCCAATTGACCTTAATATCCCCCAAGACTATCATCTTGAGCCCTCATATCCAGTGATTCATTCCCTTAAGGTGTTTGTTTATGAAAAAGAAAGTTTTCATAACTTTCTCCCTGTATGCTCTACTATATTCATGGATATATTTGCAGGACAAATAAATACAGAGGTAGAGATATCCTCTGTCAAACCTATATATGTTTGTGGGTATCGTCCCATTCACCTTCCCATTGCTGTTCTGTTTGAGTGTCTATCTATATACCCACTTGTAGATTATTGTTATTACTTTTATTGCAAGATTGTGTATGTAATAGTATTCACTTTTGTTGCCTTTAAGTCTTGTGCTCCTCCCTACGTATTCTATTGCCTTGATCATTTTGTGGTAAACTTCCCCTTAATGTATATTGTTTTTCCCTTCACCCAAGTTAATGCATGTTTACCCTCTAACAGACCACTACTGTAAAAAGTTAATAAAAGTTTTACACAAAGAAAAATCATTCTTTGAAGGTTATCAGGGGTAAGAGGGGAGAAGAGGGTAAACTGATTTATTTTTATTTCTATTCCTTTATGTTTTTGTGTACTCCAGTCCTGCCCTCCTTCTCCCACTTCCTCTCCCATTATGCCTCATGGTGAGGAGCCTCCAACTTTGAGGAACTACTTTAAGGTTGAGAATTTCCATCCCCCCCCCCAAAAAAAAAAAATATATATATATATATATATATATATTTTAATCCCTCAATCTGTTCCTTTGGCCCTGAATATAATACTCTCTCAAGACACACTTGTTTAAGAATTAATTAAAAGTGCCCACCACATGCTAAATAAATACTGAAGTTAACACTAATAATCCTGCATTTTGCCCTGGGATGCCCACTGTAGCAAACTATGAATCGACTTACAGTTATGGCAAGTGGCACCTGTGTAACCTGTATCACTGCAGTTACAGTAAAAAGTGGACCAGGACTGGGAACAGCTTCCTCCATGTTCACAGTAGTTTGTCAGACACCTAATGGGAGAAAGACAAATAAAATAAACCAAATCAGTCAAAATAAACAGGAAATCAAAAATGTCTTAAATACAACTATATTAATTAGAGATAAAAATTCATCCACTATACTCCTATACCTAAGTCAGACTTGAATGACATCAAACTAGTACTATGGCTTTTCCATAACAGTGGTTGCACCTATGACTACTAAAAGGGACATGTCAGAGTTAATTTAGGCAATTAAGTTGGTGCAATATCTCATTGACTTAAGGTTAATTTGAAGAGGTCAGAATCTATAAGGCTTTTTATTTACTAAAACAAAATGTTTAAAGGTTTTAATTTTGTATTTTTTGAAGGTTTTGCATTTTTATGGTAAGAGGGAAAAAGGAGATAACTGAGGTCACTATACTCAAGTGTCCCATCTCAAAAACAACCAGAAATTTATTTTAAACTATAAAAAAGAAATATTAAAATTTGAAAAGATGGTATCTGCTTATTTAATATGAAAAGAAATTTGGTCATTTTAAAACATAACCAACACCACCTTTAAAACACAAACATTAGTTCTTCTCATTCAAAACAGTTGACTACTCCAGAAAATATTTTCACTATATATATGCAAAACTTTCTAAAATGTTCATATAATTTGACCTGTCTAATCACACATATTTGGCTCTATCTTAAGGATATAATTCAAAATAAAAAGACAATACATGTGTTATTGATAACATTATTATTGAAAATAGTGAAAAAATATAAGTGCCTGAAAATGGAAAATACCCTAGGTAATCTGTGTTACACAAAATTAATAGAATTTCATAAGTTCAGTACAAAATAATTATAACAGATTGGGCCTAGACTGAATGAAAAAGCGAGTTATGAAGTAAAGCAACAACAAAACAAAATAATATGTTTATAGTATAAAAACTGTGGGATGAAAAAATATTAAGAGTTGCTTAGGTTAATAGATCAGAAGATAATGTTCATTTGTATTGGACAGAAATTTCGGACTTTAAGGACACTATAGAAACAAATAAACAAAAATCAGTTGGGTTTCTATACACCCACAAGGAGAAATCTGAAAGGGAAATTAGGGAAACAATTCTATTTATAGGAGAATAAAGTATCTAGGAATAAATCTAACTAAATATATGAAGGATTTATACAATGAATAAATAAAAAAAGATTTTCCCTGTCTGTGCATTGGTAGATTTAATGTTAAGAATGTCAATATAACCCAAAATGATCTACAGATTTAATGTAATCTCAATCAAACTTTCAACAGCCTTCTTTACAGAAGCAGAAAAACCAATTCTCAACTTGATATGGAATGGCAAGAGGACTCAAATAGCTAAAACAATGTTGAAAGAGAACAAAGTCAGAAGGCTCACACTTCCTGATTTTAAAACATACTCTACAGCTACAGTAATCGAAGCAGCCTGGTACTGGTATAACAATACACATATAGACCAATGGAATAAAATTGAGAGTCCATAAATAAACATGCATATCTCTGGTCAATTGATTTTGTGTAACTTTTATTATTATTATTATTGTGATTTGGGTGAAGATTTACAGAGCAAATTCACTTTCCATACAGCAGTTTACATATACTTTGTCTCATGACATTGACCACAGTTTACCTCAATGCAACAGTTCTCATCCCACTGCCTCCCCATAGTTACCTCTTCCCAGTGTCCATCCCTCCATGGACTCCTG